TTTTTTTTTTTTTTTTTTTTTTTTTTTTTACCGTTACTGTTGTATTATCACGTTTTATTGTGGGGTTTTTTCCCAAATATTTTCAATCTGCAGTTGATTGAATCCTCAGATGCAGAACGCATGGATACTGAGGGCTGACTGCATAACTATGCTAAAACCTGAAGGATGACAAAAAGAGATAATAAGGTGCAGCATGGGGGCAGAAGGTGTGAGCCAGGGGCCAGAAAGGTTTCAGATAAAGGGACAGCAAGTCCCTAGGGATGAGAAAGCTCATGCTTACCAGAAACGAAATATAGCTCAAAATAGTTAGCAACTAATGTGTGATAGGGAGAGGGGTCATAGGAGTCTGGGGAGCTAAGCAGGACCCAGGCAATGGTGAGCCTTACAGGTCAAATTTAGGGGTTTGGATTTCATTCTCAGGGCAATGAGGAGCTGTGAATGGCCATAAACAGGGAAATATGAGGTAAGACAGGCACTGTAGACAAACATCTGCATGGGGGAGGAGGGTGGTGAGGATTAGAAAATAAAGAAAAGCAGCTCAAAAAATAAAAAAGAACTTTCCAGGCTGTTAACAGCCCAGCTGAGAGTGAAGGTCTTGGTGGCACTGGGCTGAATAGCTGTGGGATGTTTGCCTGCAGCCCTCAGCAGCCCAAATGTGTGGGCAGAAGGGGCAGCTGGGTTGCTGCAGGTTGCAGGGTTTCCAGATGGATGTGCCAGAAAAACAGTGGGGACAGAAGGAGAGGAGGATGGTGACAAGGTCTAGCTGATGTGATGGACACGATGCACTCAGCAGTTAGGAAAGGAAGGGAAGGCAGGAAGGAAATGCAGCAAGGAGGTAAGCCACAGTGTCCACAGCCTGGAGGCCTTGAAAAAGTCCATGTACTGGTACTTTTCAGAGAGAGAAAGTGAAAGGCTGTGGTCAGAGAGGGACTACTCCACTGTGATTTCACTGCAGGAGAAGCTGTTCCAGGGGATGACAAGGTCTGGGATATATACAGCTGTCAAGTTAAGTGGATAATGCGGAGAGGAGATGAAGGCCCTGAGCTGTGAAGAGGGGTGTGCGTGGGTCAGTCACCCAGAACCATAAAGGGACTTGGGTGCAAGGTGGTAAAATAAACATATTAAGTCATGTTGAACATCTTTTAACCTCTTAAAAATAATTTAAAAGCACTTCTGTTCTGCATAATGTTCTCAGTCATCATTATGAACTTCAATTACCTTGAAGAGACTGAAAGAAAATGTTCTCAGTTATTCCCCTTTTCTGACTGGATGGATTCCAGTTAACTGTGCTAGAGTCTGGAATGTTGCCTGGCTGGCTTGTTCTACTCCTGGGGAAACCTCAAATTCATATCAAAGCTTTTAACTAAACATTCTGTTGGCACTGAAAATATTCCTCCTACTTCTTCATCATTTCTATGACTAAGACATAACTGGGTATAACCCGTTGATATCAGATGTCATTAATTCCTTCACATATGGTGTAAATGCATGAGATCTATAAGCATAGCATGATTTTTCTCTATTTTACCTGAAAGAGTCTGTGATTAAGTACTATTATTCTAAAAGTCCTTAATTTGCGGGTGACTGACTTTAAGAAGACATTCACAACTAAAGTGATGAATCATTCCAAATTGACTCAATATCATCATTCTGGTATTTTAGTGGCATTATATTCTGGCTATATCAAGACAGTGAAGCCAGAAATTATGCAAAGAAACAATAGAGCTGTCAGGAGATGGACGCATTCGTACAGCTGAATTAAGTAAACCTTGGACACACCAAGCTAGACTTTTGTCTGACTTCATCTGGGATAACATTCCTCTTTTAAAATTCTTGCTTTGTTTCAACAGAACTGCAGTGCATAGTATTTCAATGACACATGAGATGGAGTTTAGCAACTCAAAAGTAAAAAGAAAATAAGGTAAACATTTCTGACAGGGAAGGATTAAAAATAAAAACATGGCACAGTCTAGTGCTATAGGGAGAAATAAACTACTCTTTCAGGTAGATTTGGAAACCAGAGACTCAGTTTTACTCCAAAAACAACACTGGACATTCGCACTCGGGTAAGGGGAAACTAATCAGAGAGCAGGGGTGGCAGCTGCTGGCACGGTCTGTGTGGCGCATTCTGCAGAGGTGTCAGGCTGAGCTCATCCAAGGAGCTCTGCTTCTGTAACAGTACTTATCTTTCTTTTTTACTGAGACTTCAGGCGCTAAAGGAGTCTCACGTAACACGTGAGTCCATTTCCCTCGGAGATAAAGTTGTAAGAACTAAATTTCCAGAAGGTGGGAACTGTTTCCTATGTATTCTAATACTATGCACAGGAATAACAAATGAGAGGAAAATCCACTCCACACAAGTTGTTTTCTGCTTGTAGCTAAAATGACAGCAAAGAGCCCATCAGTGTATGTGTTACAGGCACCAGAGCTCACACACAGAGAAGGAGCATCACACAGACAGACAAAAGATTTGCTGTCAGTATAAGTACAATACAAAGTAAATCAAAACCCTAGAAAACATATATGCGGGGCCTATCCCTCACTTGCAGGCAGCACTGGAGTTGAATCAATGGCATGTGCATGATATGCCTACTCAGAAAACAGTTATATGCATAAAAAACAGCTAACCAGATGACATGCACACCAGCTCTCTATGTGAATCTCATGATAAACTGTTGACACAGAAAAATCTATCAACTATTTTAATCCACTTAAAGTAATTGATTTACTTAAAATTCAATTCCAATGCTCATCCTGTGTAATATGGCAACAGTTCCCAAAATGGTACATGCTTTAAAGATGCAAACCATACCACAGTAAAAGTCTACCTGATGCTTTGAAAAGTGAGGGGGCTACTAGAGCATGTAAGCCACCTTTCTCTCATTTATACATAAACTCCACTTTCCTTCACAGTAACCTCACATTGCCATCCCTCCACTGGCTTTTGGCTTCATAATGGGATTTGAAATACCATCTTTATTACAGTAGTAAAGAAACATTGCTCTAACATACAGACACTAACACCCAGCAAACTTTCAAATGTGTCACATACATAAAAGCTTGCTGAAAGCATAAGAAAAAAAATGTTAGGTTACTATTCTGCCACCTAAAAAGGATGCTATTTAAAGCTATATTTTTAAAAAAATCAAATCACAGAAATGCAATCAACTTACGTGTAATTTTAAAAAATCATAGCCATCAAAGAAACGCCTTGCACAGGTCACCTATTTCCTTTCCGGCTGTATAAGCCTTCATTCCAATGCCTCTGGCTGCAAAGACACATAGAGCTAAAACTTCTGGAGCACTATTTAAGCAGTTCACATGAGTTAATGTAATCCTCACAAAACCGCATTAATATCATTATTCCCATTTCACAGATGAGGACACTAAGGCACAGAGAAGTAAATTAACTTCACTACAGTGAAGACTCATCCTCTAAATTATCCAGCCAACCTGACACCATCCAGTTCCAACCCAGCCTCTGTCTTCTCAGGTTCATAAAGCAGGGATGCTTTATGATTCCTCTTTAAGTGTAACTAGCATTTTATTTTAAAGTTTAAAAACCTTCACTAGTTCCCTAATGCTGAGGGCTGATTATATATGAATAGATATTTTTATGTATTTGATTTTGATCTTGGATGTTATTTTCGGAATATTTGGGTAAAACCAGAAAATTCTGATCGTTAGAGGCATTGTTTCATTTATACACAACCAAAACTTATATTAAAA